TACTAGGTAAACTTGTTAAATATATCTTAACATGAAAATACATTATTGTTCAGTCAGTAATTATAATAGCATGTCCGGGATTTAAAAAGCAATATCAGTTTCTTGCCCAGTCATATATTAATCCGTATGATTATATGGCTTAATAAAATATTTTGCAAAACATAAAAATTGAATACTTTCAGAGTAAATTAAATGAATTATTAAATTTTAACTATGTCTTGCCAAACATTCTGACTCCTCTGCTAAATCATAAAAAATGTTAAACATAAATCATAAAAACAAAATTAGCATTCTTTACTTAGTTCCAAAAGAAACTTACAGCCTTACTGAATATTAATACCATTATATATACATGTATATTCTGAAGTGTACGAATCAAACTATTTTTGTTTATCACAGAGGACTTTTCATATGATTTGGTTAATCATCCAGTTTCTAATTTTACATGCTTGTTTTCTGTTGTTGTACGTGTATTTACAGAAAAATAAGAAGGTATTCGGATATTGATTAATGTTTATGAGCATCAGTTTTTCATGTGATCTTCTATGATTTCCCTTATTGAATTATTTGTTATAACGCCCAATCGGTGCTTCGTCCTAGTGCCCTCTTCTAGTTAATTGGTGGCCTGCTGGGCTCCTTGGCGTGTGTTGCTTGTTTTTAGTTGGGGCGTGTGTGAGACATATATCTTTTTCTAAGAACGAAAGTATGGATCCACAAACGGACGCAATATGGATATTGTCTTCTATATATATTATTTTTACGATACAATCAGGTATGAGTCATTTAATCGTTTAAACAGTTAAATGTCATGCTTACTTTTCTTTATACATTTAAAGTTTGTCAAAATAAGTATTATTATAATGTTTACGCAGATAATGTTCATATCAATGAATGTCATTTGAAAATTAAAACGAACATCTGTAATTTGTTTTTTCCGGGTAGTTTTAAGTTGAAAGAATTGATACGAATGAATAGCAATATGCCAGGCACATTGAAATCAATTATTTTGTAAAAGCGTGTTTAAGCACTCTTTTGTATAATGTACCGTATTTTTAATATTTATATACTTAAAACTTATCTTGAAACTGATGCTTATAGTGGTGGTGGTGTTGATAGGTTTCACTCCGGATCACGACAGGAAGCCACATTGAAGCCACATTTAATTTACCAGAGCACAGTTCAACCACCGCATCGTTCCTAGGCAGGCTGTCAAGCAGTTCAACGTACTAATTGCCTTCATTTTCGCAAGAAACTGAACCTTCTGTACGTGCCAGGGCAGAGGTACAGTGTAAATGACCGTAGAAAGGATTTCATGATCAATCACAACGAAAGTGACCGTTGATATGATATTTATATTTAAATGACATAATTTAATTCAGTTAGTAATAACTATGATTTTATACATGCTTGAAAGCAGTTGTTTTAAAAGGAGAATTAATTCTGTTGAAATAGTATTGCCAACATTTCCAGAAGAATTTTTTTGTTTGCATGAATAAAATCTTTAATACATATTCATGTTGATGGCTGGTATGTGTGCTGATATGAAAATTCATTTATTTATTTGAAAGATTAAATGTCAATACAAGAAAACAATTAGATTATGATAGAGCCTAGCGAAGTTGTTTTTTTATAGAATCATGTCCTACTTGTAGATTTGCATAAGATAGTGATTGCTTAAACCATAAGGTGACATATTAATTGCTTTTCTGTCTGAGTGACGTCATCATGACGATTCAGTATTAGCCTTAAAATTCCGATAATGGATTATAAATAAATCAATTAACGTATATTGTTGTAAAGACGTCAGAAGTTTTAAAACAGTTTGTCATTTTTTTATTGCGGTGATTGTTCGTGAAATAAATAACATACTGACATTTGAAATGAAGAAGAAAACACTGATTGCTACATCACAATCATAATAACTCTATTTCCAAAATTAAAACTCCGAACTTGAAATCTGGCATAATATGTAATCTTATTCACATAGTCAATGTTTCCTTAAACAAATGCAAGATGAATTGTCATATTTTTATCTGAACTTTGATCCCTTGTGTGACCTTGGCCGCAGGACCTGAATTTTGCACTCGACACTCCGCCTTACAATAGTGAACATTTGTGCCAAGTTATATTGCAATCCCTGTATACATGTAGAAGTATTGCTCCAGAGAAGCGTTTTTCAATGACCTCTAAGTGTGACCTTAGATATCATTCTTTTTGGTACTTATGCCAAAACCTCCATTCTTTCCATTAACTAGGTATAAATAGAATATTATAATCAAATTGACATTAGCCATTTTCTTTATGTTTATCCCAAAACGTGTTTTATTGTGTAGCATAAATTTATAATCGTTAATCATTAATGTTAATGGATTATGTTTGTTTCTTCTAAAATAGAAAAGTTGAGTAGTCAGCCAACTCTCGCCAGAACATTGGAACTATTAATTTGTTTTGCTGTCGAATAGTTAGCTTCCTGCGTGCGCGAACGTGTAATTTTCCAGCTTACCATATGTTCAAAACCAAGAAGCTAACCATGAAAGCTGTAGCTTAAAGTTAACGAAATGAGACGCTTTCAAGGTTGTATAGAATTTCATCTCTTTTCATATATTTCTTAATAGGTTTCATTCAAAACGTTGTTCACCCCCTCAAACGTTTTCCGTTAAAATAGATTTTTTTTCAATTATTAATTGTGTTGATTAACGCCTAAAGCATGCTCTTTTTGAAAATCATGCTTCTCGTTATCAGGTGAATGTATTGGCATCGTTGGTTCAATGTTAGCTGTTGTTCTATTTGAAATATTGTTTTTATTCCATTGGACCAACACTATTATATTAAGAGTTTACATAAAAATGTAATCCTCTTTAATGAAATGAATTCACATTCTTTCAACTTAAAATAACTAACTCTAGATCAAAGTCCAAAAATACATGTCAATTGCATAATGCTGCGAATACGTACAAAGTCGTTATCAAAGAAACCATATTCTTTTGTCAACCACGCCAATGCTTGACAACCAATTGTCTTTTTTTTATTTAAAGAGATTGCACATTTATTTAAATTTGCAAGTAAAGATATATTTGAAGCACACACAAAATGGGTAACGTTTTCTGTACATGCGACTCAAATATTCACCTGAGCCATGTTTTAAATTATCAAAATTTATTACATTGCCCTCATTGCAGTAGAATTGTATTTTCAAATAGAAAAAGTGACAATTTGACAACTGCAAAAATCCCCTATAACACGTTTAAATTTTGACAATACTTGTTGTTTGATAGCGTCTCCACTACTGCAGTACACATATATTTTCAATCAATATAAAAACAATTAAAGGTAAAGAAATGTAAACAAACTTTTAATTGAATATATTTATTCAGTTTATTGTATATACATGTATGTATGTTATGTTTGTTTGTATTTTTTAAAATACATGATCATTTATGATAATGCACTAACATATGCTTTTGGAATTATTTTGTTTTCGTATTTATTGTTGCAACACAATTAATGACGTTTAGCAGTTTAAGATTTATACTTATGCAATGTTTTCAATTGATCATTTTTTTCTTCGACTTTGAGATATGAACATTTAAGATATACCTGGGTAATGTATAATTTGTCATCAGTTTATAAATAACGGAACTCTTTCAGAAGCTTGTCATAATAGAAACTTGTCATAATACCTTGAAGGCGAGAATTGATTTTAATTTCGTTACATTATTCACAACATAAGACGGAGTTCTGCAAAAATATAATAATTCTCAGGTGTATTTTATAGCCCCCTCACATCTCTTTCATTTCCAGTTATTGCATGCAACGGGCGTTTATTTTTTTAAATATTAACTCAGGAAAACTGCCAGAGGAAAATAAAAATTGCTCGTGTCGCAAAGTCAATATAATTCATTATTGTGCTATAGTGTCACGTGAATTTAATAGTCTAAATCAGCCGTTAATTGGCGGCTTACATGGTACAATCAAAGTCAAGTTTATGTAACAATGTATAAAATGCTTTGTTATTAGAGCCGTCATGAATTGTGTGAGATAAATGCACATCTAAATCCGCTTTGATGACAACCGATGGATTGAAGGCACATATACTTCAGAAATTAGTGCATTCCTTCTTCATTAGAAATGACATTCGTTTGAGACTTTGCAAATAATGGATTGATATCGTCTTTAATGATCATCCCCTGCATTTGAAAAAATTGTCATTTAAAAGGGAAACTGTAAGCAGAAAAAAACGATAGTTCGATAATTCGACGTTATTTAGTGCCCACCTACATTCAGAACCATGTACATACTGACAATTGGCTCTTTGACTCTGTTGTCTAGAGCGTTGTTACTTTCGTTTTTAAGCGGGTGTTCAAGCCATGATGGGATATTTTTCAAGTGCAATCACTGACAACCTGGGATGTCTCGAGTTTAATAATTTCTGCAGCTTAACAGACCTTTAAATGTTGTTCATGTTTTATAAAGAGGTCTTTGGCGACATGATCTTGCATGTTATTAAGATACTGGAATCTGTTATGTTATGTATTATAATAATACATGTAATAATAATGAAAATGTAACTGTACCTTGAATTGAGAATTTCATCGATGTACTTTATGCATTTTTGGCTGGCAGAAAAAAGAAAACATTTATATGGAAAACCTTTTAATGATCTTTTCCTGAAAAAGACGTAACATGAACATGAATTTAATTCATGTATGATTTGAGAAAGGATTTTCAAATATTTGAATTGTGACATACATGTATATGCTTATTGAGAAGAAAGGATTTAATTATCATTTAACAACAGAATATTAAAATGTATTCTACTTTGACAATAACGTTGTCTAAAACATATTTTTCTGTATCTTACTAATCTTCGATAAAGGTTTTAACACGCTAAGCTTGAAACATGGTCCTCGGGAGTAGATAATATCTCTTCTAAACTAGATTGAATATTCACGGTATTTAAAAGTTGTAGATATTGAACTTGACTTTGCTAATGATAAAACATGGCTGTTATTGCTGACGAAAGCGAGGAGCCACAGACAGATGCTATATGGATACTGTCTTCTACTTTTGTCGTGTTTACTATGCAATCAGGTATTATTTTCTTTTCATTTTTTGTGTTAATTTGCTCTTTGATTTTTACACATTTTCTTTTTTAAGTATTTCTATTAAGTGCATTTTTCATGTTGCCTCAAACTAACTAAACGAATATTGAAGGATATAAATTCACAATACATGGTAAAAAGTACAAAACTTTTGAAAAAGAGATTTTAAGTTATAGTTCATTTTATTGCTGCAATAATGCTTTCAAGTATAATTTAACAATAATGACTCAACATGTCTATTTTCATATGCGAAATATTTAACAGTATTAAATAATTAATAAATTACCAAATTACTATTTTGTCTCATTTACTGAAATTCAAAATAACCCCCGCAAAAATAATATGTTTCCGTATCTTTAACAATTATCAAGATTACATGAAATTGCAAATAAGTGTTTACTAAGTTATCGTTATTTCTAATATTAAAGCTATTGCTAATGATGCAAGTCCGGAATAACTTTATACTCATGCGTATAATACTGTTATAGGCTGTTGATAACGTTGATTTTACAATGTAACAAGTTTAACCTTATTTTGTCTTCTCTACGACAGGAATTACATGTAGTCACGTAGTACAATTTGTTAACGTTTCAGCTGGGAACGTTAAGTATGTACACAATGTATGTAATCACTGAGTTTTCCAGACGATAAAACGTGTGCTTGGTGTTCATTATGAATTTTGAATTTAAGTATTATCAATATAACTACAGGTTAAGATTTTTTGCGAACATGGATTACATTTAATTGTTATTTTAACGCTTTTTCTTTCATATGCGCTTTGATGTAAACTAATGTTTGACATTTAAATGGTGCAAAATAGCACCAAACTGCAATATATGAAACAATCGCATCTGTCGATGTTTTTAGCTTGGCTATCAGTTAAATTCCTCAGTGTAACAAATGTGAGTTCTGAATAATTCGGTACGAAATACCATGTCGACAAATTTTCTTTGAGTCCCTGATCCGAAAGATAAAACGTCTACGATACGCTCTTTAGAAGTACAAAATAGCTTCATGACTTTTTTATTTGCTGCACCGAGTGTGTGTTACTATGGTTATTCAATATCACAAGGAACACGCGTTAAGCACAACAATTTTAATAAATTTATACTCAAATTGTAGAAAACAATTTATGATTACCGTACATATTGAATTACTCAAAATTGAATTACATAAATTATGAAGATACAAGACTCTTAGTGCTATAACTTTTTTTAACATCCCTCGTTTTTATATTTTTACAGCAAACAATCGTACTTGAATAATCTAGATAGTCATTTGCTGTGTTGGCAATTTGTAAATAAGGAAGGACACCGTTTAATTGACATGTTAAATCAATTGTGCTCAATCAATAAATTAAATCAATAGTGAGCCATGTTCTGTGTTAGCATTGGACAACGTTTAATCGACATGTTCTAGCAAATAACATCAATAGTGACCCATGTTCTGTGTTAGCAATTGGACAACGTTTAATCGACATGTTCTAGCAAATAACAGTTATAAGGTGTGCTTTTATATGTTATACGATAAAACAGACCGACTGTTTTATATATAATTGTATATAAACAAAACAAAATATAAGGTCCTATATTTGGAAAACTAAATGACATGTTATAATAAAGCAAATTATTAAAGACAACCGGACACAATTAAGGTAAAGGTTATCACTTTTCCAGCTGTATTAATATATGAAGTTATTAAAGTTAATTGTGTCTACTTATACGTTGATTGGAGACATTGTAAGTTTATGTATTTGTACCTCAAAACACACGTTTGACTTTTACGAAATATGACTATTTGACCTTCACAATTATATAAAAGTGCATAAAGCTGTCAGGTCTGGTGGAATTAATGTAATAGATGTCAGAGATGATTATATATCGTCACCAAGTTTAATGAATGCCTCAACATCTCATGCAGAGGATATATGACATAATTACATGTATTTGTATCATATGTTATGTTAAAGCAAGCAAAAAACAGTGAAATAAAAGAATGTCCAGTATTACATGTACAGTTCAAAAAGGGTTCAATAGTTTTAACAATACATGCTATTTAATAGTTTTTATTTATCAAAAAATTCCGAACGTAATGCTTACCCGCGCCGCTCCTATTTTTTCTGTTCCATTTGTTTTGTAAGACATAAGTTACTTGTTGCCCTAACAGAATTACCATCTTGCTAAAAGGCTTTTTATCTACATGCATTCCGCTCTAAAATTGTAAAATGTTTTACATGCCTAACAATTCGATTCATAAATTGATTGAACTTCATTTGGCAAAAAGATCAGCAGGAAATGAGAATAGTTCAGGTCTTGCGTATGAGCTAGCTAACTTTACGATTGTTAAATTGCTTTTTTCTGGCAAAGATCCTCTGGGATTTTATAACACAGTATAAAAAATACATACAGATTTGGTTTTACAATTCTAATAAAAAAAAAGACATTGAGAATTCTCCAACGCCTCTTTTACACCTTGAACAATTTTTGGCTACCGCGTTTACACGTCAAAAAACAATAATTGGAACTCATTGGACAATAATTCAACCAAACATAATTAGAGATAATCACAAACACAGCAAAGTTTTATTGAATCTTTTCAAGAGAAAACAATGAAAAGCGGAAGATCTATTACATACTTAACTATACCACCTTAACGCAGTATTCAATTTCTAATACATGCTAGTAAATAGTTTTTATTTCTCGAAAAGTATTTCAAATATTGATGATAACAATGGAAATGTATTGGTTTGATATTGTTATGAAATAGTTCAGAAAACAAAATGTTGTTCTTAAGTGATTTAGTGTGAACATTATATATGATGAATGATGATATTATGTCCTGGAACATTTTATTATCTCCTTCATATTGATATGTTTATATCGGATCTAACACTGACCCACAAGATCCATATATCAGTCTTTCGTGGTTTGTTTTCACGTATGATACTAAGTAATACCATCATAATTGTTTATTGTATTATAGATCTTCCATGATAGACCAATTCACACTAAGCTTTAACAAGATGATGAATGATATTTGTAACTACATGTATTTAGATATCTCCCGCATTTAACTTATACTGAAAATTCTATGCACTTGTACATTTTAAATTATAACTTTTGAAAATATTTCTTATCTTGTATCATTTTAACGCACCCAAATTAAACTGTTTTCAGTATCATAAAAAGTTAAATAAAGATTATTTTTGCAATCAAAGTGTTAAAAAGTTTGTTTTGTTATCTGAAATGACCTATTGTTTTGATTTTTATCAATTGATAAACAATTTATTGTCGCAACTATGTTATTGTGAAGAGAATAATGCATCAAAATATGACTGTCATATAAAAAGATCGTGCATCTAAAAAGTCTTCAGAGCCATCAATTATCACTCCATTCAGACAAGAAAGATGATCAAATATTATGATATATAACCGTATGACGTGACTTAAAGAGCTTTGTTTTTTTCTACAGTTTTATTCATTTATTTACCTTCGCTGGAAATTAGAGAAAAACATTATTTTGTTCAACTTTTGTCTGCAATATGGTCAAGTGTGTTAAGTTATATTTATTATTGTTAACAACACTATGCTTCAAGAAGGAATAAAAACATTTATTGATTATTACATTCTTTGAGCAAAATATGCAGAATTAATTGATACCGTTGTAAGATTCCCTGAAGGATAAACATGGCTATTGCGGCTGACGAAAGCATGGATCCCCAAACGGATGCTACATGGATATTGTCTTCTACTTTTATTGTTTTTACCATGCAGTCAGGTATTTAATCTTTAATCTATTTTATCATTTTATCCTTGTACAAACCTTTTCTGTTTTATTTTACTTAACAAGGACACAAATTTAGTCTAGAATGGCATTCATGAACATGATAAAAATATAACTTTCTAAGCAATATTGTATTTTTTTTTGTCCAGAGGTTAATTGTTAATTTGAAGCCATTACGGAATAGATGTTATTGTTAGCAATAAAATCATTTTAAAATCATTATAAAATTAAATGACATGCAAAATTATTATGCAGAAAACATATAATAATTTTTTATCATGTGTATATTCGTTCAAAAAATATACTCAAATAGTACCTGTACTTACTCTATTATATAGGAAAATAATTCGAGGTTTGCTTTGTAGAGATTTTCCCCCGAAAAGAAAGACATGATAAATAATAAAAGCTTCCCTTATTAATTTTGATTGCTAAAACTGTTTTAAACTTAAAGGAGATCGCGTGTCATTTATCGTTATTCATTTATAAAAAGTGCATTGTTATAATTAAGGTAGGTAAACTTGTTAAATATACCTTAACATGAAAATACATTATTGTTCAGTCAGTAACTACAATAGCATGTCCGGGATATTCTGAAAAGATTTTAAAAAGCAATATTAGTTTCTTGCCTAGTCATATATTAATCCGGATGATTATATATATGGCTTAATAAAAATATTTTGCAAAACATAAAAATTGAATACTTTCAGAGTAAATTAAATGAATTAATAATATTAACTCTGTCTTGCCAAACATTCTGACGAGCCTTTGTACGGTCCTCTGCTAAATCATAAAAAAGTTAAACATAAATCATAAAAACAGAATTGATATTCTTTACGTAGTTCCAAAAGAAACTTACAGCCTTGCTGAATATTAATACCATTATATATACATGTATATTCTGAAGTGTACGAATCAAACTATTTTTGTTTATCACAGAGGACTTTACATATGATTTGGTTAATCATGCAGTTTCGAATTTTATATGCTTGTTTTCTGTTGTTGTACATGTACTTACAGAAAAATAAGAAGGCATTCGGATTTTGATTAATGTTTATAAGCATCAGTCTTACACGTGATCTTCTATGATTTCCTTTATTGAATTATTTGTTATAACGCCCAATCCGTGTTTCGTCCTAGTGCCCTCTTCTGGTTTATCGGTTCTCTGCTGTGCTCCTTGGCGTGTATTTCTTGCTTTTGTTGGGGCAT